TTTATTATGTCCACACAATCCACTATCCACAGAGCTGTACTATATCTCTGATTTATTTTCATGTTTTCATAGACAAAGGGTTAATCTGTCACAAAAAGTGATAATTATCACATCACCTGACTCGGCCGCTACACGTAACACTTCCTGAATACTCTTCATCCTTCTCAACAAACGCAAAGGTAAAGCGACAACTGGACATTTGGCATCCTATCGACCACGTCTTTCGCACAATTGGCACGAACCAGTGTATTTCTGAACAAATACTGTTAATTGAATACATGTAAGTTTGTGTTAGTGTCCATTGCTTACTAATCAATGACTTAACACTCGGGGACATTGAAGTTCAAACTCTCCACAAAGCTTGCCAGATTTACATAGTGTATTGATCTATGCATTAAGAACATGGAGGTGTCGTCTGTCCCTGCGTGGAGTATATTAGCAAGTATTGACCTGCGCAAAGGCATTACTAATGGAGCTTACTTCCGGTTTACCGCCCACGACTGAATTCAGAAAAGGCCAGTCTCGCTGACGGCTGTGTGGTTATCATAAATCTATAATGAATCCTTTACTTCATATTGCACTGACACATCCGAGAGCGAGTTGTTGTCGTCAAACAACACGTCGGGAACATACAAGGGGAGACAACTTCGTATGCCTTAGGGTCAAGGTATTGAATTCATTGAAGTAAAATCTTGCTTAGGTGACAGAATGTTTTCTTTCTGATACCGATTGTTTGTTTGTTTGTTTGTTTGTTTCCTGGTTGTTGTTTAACGCCACAGAATTGATATTCCACCCTGTCGGATGCCCGTATGTTTCTGGTGGTAAGTTGTTACCATGTTATGATTAAATTTGGTTGGTTGGTTTGTTGTTTTACGCCGCAAACAGAAATATTCCAGCTATATGAGGGCGGTCTGTAAATAATAGAGTCAGTGATCGACATCATGAGCATCGATCCACGCGATTGGGATCGATGACATGCTTCAACCATGTCAGCAAGCCTGACCACCCGATCCTGTTAGTCGCCTCTTACGACAAGCATAGTCGCATTTTACGGCAGGCATAGGTTGCTGAATACCTGTTCTACTTTTACGGGTCCCATTATTAAAGAATACCATGTTAATATGGTCGCATTGAATATTGAGGCAAATGCAAGCAAAGAAGATGCTGGACATCCATGTCTTCAGTTGATGCAGATAAAGACACAACACCATCCTGTCCATGGCGTTTGTAGCAACAACAGAACACCTTCGTCTGTCGCCAGTGGGCATGTTGACCAGTCGTTTAAAGCTTTCGAATTGCAGAGTTTCGTCCCTTTGGCGCTCCAGAATCCTATGATCTTAACTCGATTCACGCTGATTATGTTTCCAGGTCTGTCAGCTCCATGATGACTTCAAGGCCTAAATGATATTGCTTCCAGGTTCTGTCCACAAACAACAATAAATCAATCAGCTATCCGTGTGTACAAATTATTCTTTGTTGACCTTCACCTTGCATTCTACGCGTTTGTTTTACACGTAGCTCCTGCAGGTACTGTATATGTAATCGACAAATACGCTGACACACGATGGACCAAGTGGGCGACCTCTGACCACACCATTCATGGGTTTCTGGTGCCCAATTCGAAACTGAAATCCCAACAGGATTTGCATTCAAGGTCTGTAGAAGAGGATCAGGGCGAGGGGCAAGGTGTCGGTATTGTTGGTAAGACTGTTGGTGAAAATGTCGGTATTGGTGGTCAGACTGTTGGTGAAAATGTCGGTATTGGTGGTAAGACTGTTGGTGAAAATGGGGGGATGATTAGTAGGCAGGAATTTTAATCATTATTATTGTTGATGGTGTATGGCCCTATTCATGACCTTATATCGCAGCCATGACGTTGTTCTGTACGTGTGTGTGTGTGTACAGAACGCTACATAAATGTTAACTGACATTGGGAGTGTAGCCGGGTGTGCTGCCAGGACAACAGCCCTTCTGACAAACTGGGTAATACAGAAACCTACACAGTTGGGGAGTCATCACATTCTTCGAAAAGTTCTCAGTGCGTTCGGTAAAAGTTCTCGGTAAGCAGCCTGATTATGCCTGCTCTCCCAAACACTCTTTGATGCATTTATTTATTTTAATATGTATATAGAAATAATAATAATGATTCCCAGCTCCCCAGGGAGTATACAGCCAAAGTTTCTGTGAGGCGCTAGAAGGTTAACAGTTACCATCTTATACTACCGGGTACCCACTCACTTCTGGGTGAAGAGCTGACATATTTCAAACAAAGCCACTTGCTTAAGGAGACATTATATGTAACATGTTTTAGTGAGGGACAGGGCCGAAGCACCAGACACTCAGAACGCCAACCGAAACGTCGGACAAATATTATGTTCCAAACATTGAATACGCCAAATTTCAATTCACTATGGTCCAGAGAATGTTTTATCAGCTCCATATTGACATATTACATGAGGGGCGGTGGGGTAGCCCAGTGGTTAAAGCGTTCGCTCGTCAAGCCGAAGACCCGGGTTCGATTCCCCACATGGGTACAATGTGTAAAGCCCATTTCTGGTGGCCCCCGTCGTGATGTTTCTGGAATATTGCTAAAGGTGGAGTAACTTACTCACTCTTGTCTTACAAATTATTTTTAATTGAAACTCCCTGTTATAACAGTGACTATGTAAGTCATTTATAGACTCGTTATAACATATATGTAAGTCTGATTTAGATCTCATTATGAAAGGTGAGGTGAGGTGAGGTGAAATTGGGTTTAACGTCGCGTCCAAGATTATTGCACTTATATAGCGACGTGCATGCACGTGTATGTGTGTGTGTGGCTGCTTGTACTAGTCCGGACTGATGCCGATTTATAGTGCTAGCTCACTGAGATACCATGCCGCAGTTTAACATGAATACCCCACTCAGACACAGTATACTGACTCCGAGCCGATCAGTCCTTGTTTTAGCCCCTTAATGCCGAGCGCCAGACAGGGTAACAACAAGTACAATCTTTTAACGTCTTTTTGTATGACGCGTTCCGGGATCGAACCCTGGACCTTCCGCTCTCCGGGCGGACGCTCTACCACAAGACCACGGAGGCGGTCTCATTATGAAAGAGAGACTATGTACGTGTTATAGAGACTCCACGTGATTCAGTCCAAAAACGAACAGTGCACATTGTTTCAATCGGTATCAGACCCGTGAAGATTCCGGGGTAGAATAGGTCTTCAGCAACCCATGCTTGCCGTAACAGGCGACTATGCTTGTCGTAAGAGGCGACTAACGTGATCGGGTGGTCAGGATGGCTGATTTGGTTGATGCATCTCATCGATCCCAATTGCGTGGATCGATGTTCACCACACGACACACGACACCACATCTTCCCGAGGCAAGAGAGTTAACTGACTATCAAAGTCCAGTTTCCACCCTTGCCGAACTAGGCTGGTATTATGGAGTTAGATTTTGGCTGGACTAACGAGTCTATGCACAGTCCAATTAAAATCGCGCACCGAAATCGAAATCCGGTTCGTAAAGTGTCATGCAGATTTCGGTCGACTGCAGGATTTGCAAAGCATGTGCACCGCTAACTCGTTGTCAACCGATATTTTCTGATTTTTTTCATGTTTTTAATCAAGGGGCTCACGTGATTTGATGCACTTCGCGATGTAAGACTTGTTTTATCACAATATAGATCTTGATTATCGATCAGATTGTCTTGACTGGGCGTCACCGTTTTGTTTGAAGCAAATGCAAGTGATACGAGAGGTTAAACCTGATTGGTCAATAGGAGAGGCATAGAAAGGACATAACTCGTAATAGCCACTGGTGGCGCTACGATCGAGCCCAGGAATTCCAGCCTAGTTCGACGAGTTTGGAATCTGGACTTTTAAAGTCAGTTAACTCTCTTGCCTCGGGAAGATGCCGAGCGCCAGGTTCAACTTGTAAATACCGAGCGCCAGGTTCAACTTGTAAATTCTTGATATGACGCGGGCGGGGATCGAACCAACGACCCTACGCTCTCCGGGCAAACGTTAACGCTCTTCCCGGTTTGGATGATAAGAGTGAATGAGTTACGCCACTTTTAGCAATATTCCAGCACCAGAAATGGGCTGAACACAAAGTACCCATATGCGGAATCGAACACGGACCTTCCGTGTGACGAGCGAACGCTTTAACCACTAAGCTTCACCGCCGTCCCTTATGACACAAGAACAACTGTCGCACTTGTTATCTGACATCCAGAACATTTTATTGCTATACAATCCCGTTTTGGGGCAAGGAAATCAAATTGTGTATGTCTGAACATGAATTAATATCAGACTGTGGTTTACACCTGACTCAGGTCAGTGGGACAACAGTGATTGCCATTATCGTAAATATTGCTTGGATACACTGTTCGATATAAAGTACAGGTTAGGGCGAAAACAGTGACGCTCAGGAGCGTTGCACTAACGAGAACCATGTACCATATAGGTTTCTCCATCTACCCCTCCCACATAACTCGAATATCGAGATTTGTGGTTGAAATTGATCATCTTCGATTATATTTTAATTCAAGTCAAAACCTGATGATTTATATATATTTATGGTCCCAATGATATTCGCTTTAAACGAGTGCGTCCCGGGCTTCGTTACGTGGGGTTCCGACTAATGGGGATTGTGTTGCCACAATGTCGTGCGTGTACTTCGTGGGTCGTTGTTCAAGCGATCATCCACCGGTTTGCCGGTAAAAACTTATCCTTATAAAAAGTATCCTTATACTAAGCTACCCCATCGCCGCCCTCTTCAGTGATACAGATTATCGCATCCAAATCAGCTGTTACATTAGATTATCGCAAAAGCAGGATTATCCGAAATATCACCAAACGGCGTCCCTGTTTGCTCGCGCTGGGTGATTGTCATATACATATCTAAAGTATTGAAAATGTTCTTAAATTCACAATCAGTCCCAAGTGGTACATGTTATTGCTTCGGACTGTAATTGTGGACTTCAAGCTTAGAGCATCCTCGATGTGATACTTCGATATGATTGGTGATGTTGTTGTTCTATGCTGTACATAAAGGTGTGAAGCTCTCATTGTCCAGGAAACGGTGACCGCTTCTTATCTCCCTGTGTCCTGCCTGTCCCTCCACGATGACCACTGTCCAGCTGGTTGCGATTGCCTTAATTCTCATTTCTGGGAATACTTCATCCTCACCCGTGAAAACAAGGGTAGAACTTAATGACGGTGAGTATTCGCCTCTCAAACTTTCACATACTTTCTGTGTTAGAAATCCTCGCAGAATGAGATACGTCTTTGTGATTTGATCTGCAAATACAGTTTTTTCGAATCTTTAAAAAAAAAAATCATTTGTAGTTAATGTCACCTTGTATGATTAACCCCTGGATTCCGGCACAGAAAAGGTCACAGCAACCAATGCTCGTCGTGAGAGGCGACTTCATGTACAGTAAACTACGGTTATAACGAACACGCTTATAACGAACTGTCGGATATAACGAACTACTTATTTTGTCCCGACTATTTGCTGTAGTTATGCTGTATATATGCTTATAACGAACTACGGTTATAACGAACTAAAATTAGTCCCTCAAGTCCCTTTGAGTTCGTTATAACCGTACTTTACTGTATTTAGGGTGATGCTCAGGTACTTGGTTGATTGTGTGTCTTCGTACCCGGACGGCGTGGATCGTTGCTCACAATATCAATCACTGGATTGTCTGGTCATAGACCGCCGCCACAGAGGAATTTTGCGTTTGGCGTTAAACATGAATATACAGTAAAGTACGGTTATAACGAACTCAAGGGGACTACTAATTTTAGTTTGTTATAACCGTAGTTCGTTATAACCATATATATATACAGCACAACTACAGGAAATAGTTGGGACCAAAAAGGTAAGTTCGTTATATCCGTCAGTTCGTTATAAGCGTGTTCGTTATAACCGTAGTTTACTGTATATGTTTAAAATTGTAAAAGCAAAGAATACAAATACATTACCCATGTCACGTGTGTAGATGTTGGTTGGTTGGTTGGTTTGTTGTTTAATGCCGCACTCAGCAATATTCCAGCTATTTGACGGCGGTCTGTAAATAATCGAGTCTGGACCAGACAATCCAGTGATTAATATCATCAGCATCGATCCATTAAAAACTGCAAATGATGTCAATCCTGTTATGTGAGAAATGTCTGTAGCACCAACTGCAGAGATACTTTACCTTTTATTCAAATATATTTCAAAAGTAAATAATGTTACGTCAGTTTGAAAACAAAGCGTTCTGCGTTGCATCAATACAACGCTATTGAAGGATTTTCTTAAATTGTAGCGCATATCATGGTAAACGTAATGAAATGTTTTCTTCGCTATTATTTACACCAAAGTGGTACAATCTAAACTCGGATCACTTCGGCGTTTCCTTCCAAAACAAACTGACACGCCGTGATATATCTAGAATACTGTTCGAAAAGGCGGTAGACTCAACTCACTCACTCATATCCTATGACAATAACGCACAACACCCCACGGAAAACAAATGCTCGTATTATACCAGGCATTTCACTAAAATCAGTTCCAATTAATAACATGTTAGTATACAATGATATTGATATTAGATTCATACAAAAGTTTAAAATACATTAATTGTCCATTCAACAATTAAAACCTCGTAGAACAATGTAATTTTGAAGCAATCTGCTGTACCAATCATTTATGAATCTGAAACGGGTGGTGAGGTAGCTTAGTAAATCGGTCGCTCATAACACCAAAGACCCGGGTTCGATTCCACACAAGGCAACAATGTGTGAAACCCGTCGTGATATTGCTAAAATATTGCTAAAAAAGACGCAAAACCATTGTCACTCACTCGCCGACTTAATCTTAAACATAAATTGTATTACATTTCTTAGGAGCAGATACGCTGCCCCAGTCATCCAAAGATGCGGTTCCTCGACGCACCGATTCCTTTTTTCTTCAAAATGGCAACAGCGACCACAAACGACACTTTGATGACGAACTCACCACAAAGCGACCGACCTCGCCCTCAACTACTACGATAAGTGCACTCAGGTTGTTCCTGATTCGGCAAATCAAGAGTTACCAAAGCGCCATTGATTCAGCCCTGAGGAAACCTCACACTGGTGTAACCACAAATCCAAAATGGCGAAATGAGAATCTTCAAGCCACCGACACAGAACTGAATAACATGTCGGAATCCGAGCTCCACGCCATGCTTGTGAGTATCAGGAATGTATTTAGTGCCACCGTGGGTGACCTGTGCTGCCCCCTAGGGAAGTAACCTGGCGATGTGTCCTTTACAAAACACACTAACATTGGAGGTAGATCTTGGAAGGAGGACGGCATAACGTATTCCTATTTGTTAAAGGAGTTGAGGACGAGAAATGACAGCATCAGTTTCACTGTTAGATGACTGACAAGAACCACTGACATCCTTCTCCCTGTGAATATTACTTTTGTTCTATGAGAAGTTTAAACGATGTGATAACTGAGTATGCAGTCATAGTAACACACTCGAAGTCGCGTTTTGGTTGATATTCTTCATCAGCAACTTAACATCTGTATGTGAATATCGTGTTGGCAAGCCAACAGGTGGTTGAAATAATGAGCATCGCTCAACGCCAACGGGGTTCGAGGACATGCAATCAAACAAGACATCAAGCATGCGCACCCGAGCCGATCCACTAAGTCTCCCGAATAACAAATCATAACTCATATATCATTTTGGTATATGCATTTGTATCCATGACGTTTCCTTGGTGAACATTATACATCCCATGGTAACCCCTGGTAACCATACGATGTCGTGTTATAGTTCCTTTGGTAACTTCATTAAACCGTTGCTATCCTCGTGGTGACGGATTCATGATGTCCACTTTATGAAGACTTTGAATGACATTTAGAAGTGACACACATGAGAAAGAGAATTATGGATGTCAACTTCTATATCGTGAGGAATACAACGTTTCGTAGTATATACTTACTCCTTCAACAGGTGAAGAATGTATGGATGTCAACACCTTTATGATGAGGAACAGAACGTTTCGGAGTGTATACTTACACCTTGAAGGAGTAACTGTACACTCCGAAACGTTGTGTTTCTCATAAAAAAGAAGTTGACATACATAAAGTCTCTTCCTTATCCATTTTGTTGACATTTTTTAATTCAGCATTGTTCCTCAGTTAGCAGACTCGAAAAATGATGTCCATTTGGAGAATATTGTTATTCGTAAACATGGTTTAACAGATGTCTCCAATGGTGACCTCATGAATACAATTTGTGAACATTATAATTTTTAAATCCAACGTTCTTTTGTTGACAAAAGGTTACCGTCAGTGAACATGTTTAGCTCTCAGTGCAAAAGTGGGTGTGGCCAATAAGATGTCCATAACAAAATTAGATATTTGAACTCGCATTTGACCACAAGCGCAACTGTTTGACAAATATCTGTTTTCATCCTGTTGAAACAGTATAACTGTCTGCTTGAGAACGCATAGGGTGCGTGGACAGTAAACTCATTATGTGAGTGACTATGATGTTTTTGTGAATAAAAATGAAATAGACTATTTCTGTTGTTTTGATATAACTGTTCGATTTCTTATTCGATGTGTGCTCAGTTAGAACCCGCATGTATAGTCATATAGCTGGTAAAGATTACAGAGTCAACTGGAGTGGGAGTCCATGTGTCCATGTGATCTGTTTTAAAACCACATAAATATTATATACCCATACATCTCCATGCATGCGAGGAATTAAAAAATACACCCGATCAAAGGATTATTATATATTTCCACAAAAAATAACAATTCATAAAATTGTGTGTTGTGTTGACAATGCTTGCTTCATATCATGTGACTTGCTTTGTTTGTTTGTTTGTTTGTTGTTTAACGCCGCACTCAGCAATATTATAGCTATGTGGCGGCGGTCTGTAAATAACGAGTCTGGACCAGACAATCCAGTGATTGACATCATGAGTATCGATCCACGCAATTGGGATACGTTGACATACATCAACCAAGTCAGCGAGTCTGACCACACGATCCCGTTAGTCGCTTCTTACGACAAGCATGGTCTCCTTTTACGGCAAGCATGGGTTGCTGAAGAGATATTCTACCCCGGATCTTAAAGGGTCCATGTGACTTGCGACCACATGGAGAACATACGTGTGCAGTGCTCTTGAAGCAACTTTTCAGCAGGGATTGGTGATATGTTAGTGAAATAGAAACATGAGATCAATATATTCTGTAGATATTTCGAAAGATGCATGGAATTTGGAGTGGCCGAGTGAAAAGAAGGTTTGGTACTTTACTTGTTTGTCGGGTTTAACTGCTGTAGGCTCTTTGAGGAATCTTGCAGTGGACATCCCGATGCCGAAACACTTGCACACTACTATAATGACGGCACAACGTTCAGCTTGTACAACCTTACACAACGTTCTATAGTTATTTCTTATTATTGTCACACCTTATATAATAACATCATTGAAATACTAAAGACGACGCGACTTACTGTTTTGCAATTTATATAAATGTTGGGCATTGCTTACCGACAAGGTTTGAAAGAGATGTACATGTTATAGGGATGCTATTGTGATTTGAACCCTCTGAATTACTAAACAGATGCGGGCAGGGTAGAAATAATAATAATACAAAATTCTTTGGAATAGGCCCATAAGAGCCTCAGACCTACCCAGGCTAACACATCTGATCTTGTCCTTTTTGATGAATCCAATGCAATCATATATAGTATTGTATTCAATTCTCGTCCCTTTCGACACTAATGTGATGAACAAGATTCAGGAAAAACATGGCAAATATGCGGACCTCGCTTTCGAAATGCCACGCTTCATACCCAAGCACCATTTGTTCTCGGTGCCTTAGGTTTGGTACCTCCCAGTCTGTTGACTGACGTTGGGAGAGTACCCGGGTTTGCTTCCAGGAACACAGCCCTTCTGACAATCTGGGTAATGCAGAAGGCAACAGTGTTGGGGAGTCTTCACATTCTCCTGAAGGTTCTGGTGGGTTCGACTAGGCAACGCTTCCTGGGAGAAGTCCCATTCGCTATCTGGGCTGCGTGTAGAGGGGGCTAGGGCCCTGAGCTGATGGTGAGCCTAACCAGCCTAACTGTGCCAGGATCACCCAAACCCTCTTTGCTGCATTTATTTTATTTAATCTGTGTATAATAATAATAATAATAATAATAATAATAATATAATAATAATAATAATAATGTTAAAGTTGTCTACCTTAAAATTGAATCAGAATGAAAAGAAGAATTTTAAGTTGAAAACAGAATGAAAAGTTAAGATGACACGCCAGACCACAAAAGGGTTTCATTGATAAGTAAGGCACTTCGCCATATCGTTTAGTATACTCGATAATGACTTTGATAACAGATAATGCTTACACAGAAGAGACCTCAAGCTATGGTGACATAATGACGTCATACGATCTGTCCTTGGTACACAAAAAGAGAAACGCACGTGTAGAATTTTATTAAATTTTTGTACCTAATAAAGTCGATATGGCCCCCACACCATGACACTACCGCCACTGAAATGTCGAATTCACGTACACAATGTGGGGCAAAACGCTCACTTCGACGACGATAAACTCGTTGTCTTCCATCTCGCCGATGAAGAAGAAATCGTGATTCATTGATAAACCACACTCGTTTCCAGTTTCTCAAATTCCAAGGCTGTTAGGTATGGCACCAACGCAAGCGTCGCTGTCGATAGATCTGTTGCAAAACAGGGACGATAACTGGTCTTCTGGGGCGGATTCCAGCCTAGCGGAGATGGTTTGCGACAGCCTGGTCCGTTATCCTCCTCAAACCAGAGATGCGTCCTGCTGTCTCTGTGGCATTGCGATGACGTAGGTGGAACAGTCAAATGAAGCAATTCTGTGCAGGGGTGGAAACTCTTGGTCGGCCGGTTCTCGGACGGTCTGCAGTGGAATTGAACTGTGTATATCGGTCCCAAAGGCGGCAAATGGTGTTGTGGCGACGTTGAAGTGGCGTACAACAGAAGACCGCGATTCCCCTCTTTGGATACGTCCTTTGGCGATGTTCCGATCGGCAGAGCTGAGTCTCGGCATTTTCGAACTTGAATGACAAATTATTGGCTTAAGCTTGCCTTTATATTGTCACTACCACGAGTTACGAATGCCATTACTTGCACGTGCATTATGCCTTACTGTTTTCCTCCATGACATTTTTGAACAAGGGTGAAAACAATGCCGTTTAAGACACTGCAAATCGACAATGGCTGCATTTTGACGCACCGTTTGTCGAATGTCAGGCCACACCAACATTTTTTCAATAACACATATCCAATTTATAAAGCGGATGTTTTGTGTAGTCAGGTTCAATGAACTACAAACTACCTGTGCGTTTCGTTTTTGAAGAGTGTAGGTCTTTTATACTCAGGTATTGGAGTGTATAAATCTCGAGGGCATAAAACATGTTGCATTTGTAGCATAGCGAGTGAGTGAGTGAGTGAGTGAGTGAGTGAGTGAGTGAGTCAGTCAGTCAGTCAGTCAGTCAGTCAGCAGCAAACACACCACAATGGACTTAACACATTGTACTGGTCTGTCATACAGATCCTGAAACAAATATATCCAATACAGCCCATGCAAGTCTAGATTACTGAAGTATCAGAAAATGAAGAAAGGCTCTGGACTCCTTCTTATTACAATTTAGAACTATAATTTAACAACTGTTTTTGCTGTAAAAATATGTTCGCATCAGAGACGAGATGTTAGTCTAACATTGTGCATGTGAGTGAGATCGAACCTTGGTCATCAAGTTACACGCCAACGCATCAAGCTACATCGCCCGTGGACCATGAAACAGAAAGGAGAAATGGGAGTTTGTGTTCAGAAAGAATGTTCTGATGATGACAAGCAACGAGGGCCATAATTATGGACATAGCACAGTACTTCTGAACTGGTGTTGAATAACCTGATACCACACTCAGCCTGAAACGAGGACTTTGTTCCAAATGGCCCCACACCGAGATAACTCATATCACGAACCAGTGTCTCAGTTCCCTCAGCGCAGCACAACAGGGAACGTTGTATTTGATGACACGGTAAAATACAATCACAAGTTTCAAAGTCAAACATGTTCGGTAGCGGGACAGAAGTAAACATTAATTTTGCACTCTAATGTGTCTGATAACAGTCAATTGGTACATTGTAGTACTACTTGTGATTATCATAATACTAACCATAATAATCATTTTTGTGCAGGATAAAAGATGAGATATAACTTAATCTATTTATTTTAATAGACCCATGATGATAATGGTTATTATTATTATTATCATCATCATCATCATAGTTAAGGGATTGGGGGTTGGATAGCTTAATCGTTAAAGCGTCCGCTTGTCACACTAAAGACCCGGGTTCGATTCCCCATATGAATACAATGTATAAAACCCATTCCCTTTGTCTCCGCCGGGGTAGAACAGGTCTTCAGCAACCCATACTTGCCGTAAAAGGCGACTATGCTTGTCGTAAAAGGCGACTAACGGGATCGGGTGGTCTGGCTCGCTGACTTGGTTGATACATGTCATCTATCCCAATTGCGTGGATCGATGCTCATGCTGTCAATCACTGGATTGTCTGGTCCAGACTCGATCATTTACAGACCGACGTCATATAGCTGGGATATTGCTGAGTGCGGCGTTAAACAGCAACCAACCAACCAACCAACCTTTGTCTCCGTCATAAGTTGGGAATAATCTCAAAAGCGACGTAAACCTCACTCACTCACCTAGTACATTGAAGGATAAAAAATACCGTCTATTTCTGTTTAATCTTGCTAAAAGCAACGCATCAAGTACATGTGTTCTTTAACGCGTGCGCACTAACAACACAGTGGGGCTATTGTTGTTTATATCTCTGTATCAGACACAACATCTGCTTGTTGAATGAAAGCCAACAACAGGCGAGTCCTGATATGCAAGGTCAAGGTGCAACGCGTGTTGGCAATGACCTCTACCTCACTGTGTGCTATCTAGCCATCTTGGTCATGATGTATATTGCCATATCACACACAGTCACGTTGAATTACCTGTCCACGACATCTCATCAGAACATGTTGTCTGGAATGGCAGCATCACCTGGGCCTGTGCGCAGCGTTAACGTCTGAAAATCAGGCGAAATTAAGCAACGTCGGTGGCGTCTCTCTGGGCAAGTGACTTTGTTCGAAATGTGCCTCTGATCACCCAGCAGTAAATGGGTACTCGGTAGGATGAGATGACAATGTGGTTGTTTCTTCCAGTGCCTAACAGCAGCTTGTATACTCCCTAGGGCGCTGAGAATGATTCTTGAGTGCACACCGATCCACTGACAGGGGTAATAGTAGCGCTACGAGCATGCCCATCAGTGGTGTAGAAATATACGCAATATTATTTTTACCTGTCCAAGACATCTCACACTTTCATGTTGCCCGTTCAATACAAACAGCAACTTCGAACCCCGGGATTTGAGATCAAATTGATTAGATTTCTACGGTGGCCCATAAGGGACATGGAGTCTGTTTTTTCCATATTTTGATATTTCACTCACTTTTGTCG